ATTCGGTCAGCACTTGGGTGAATCTGTGGACGCTTTGCAGGTTGATGTAGTTCAGTAGTCTTCAACATATTGGAAAAATAAGCATTAGAAACTCTCGAATCGTTTAAGACTCGCAAGTATTTCAGGTCAATAGGAAAATATTTTACTTTTGTATTGAAGAAAATGATTTCATGCTTACCAAAGATTATTTGTAAATTACTGTTCTGCGCATTCAAACTTTGTACTGTTCGATTTATATGAAAATTGCTTTTATGCCTGTATTAAGCACTTTTAGTAGAGCATTCATTTTAGTCTTCTTGTATTTTTTTCTGTTCTATGACGATAAAATGGTAAATGTAAGAAAGTTTGGAAGACAATCATTTCTTTTTAAAGATACTGTCTTTTGGAAGATCTGTAAAAAAAAAAAGGGTGTTAATATCGATATGAATGAACAAAACGACTTGTCCACGTAACGCGCTATTTCGGTGATGAAGTTTTTGAAAATTTTTTTTCGAGATGGACCGATCTCAACACATCATTAGACGTAGTTTTTTGCGCTGATTACGAATTTAATATTCGTTCTTGAAAAAAATCGCATTTTGGCAACCAAAACGGTGTTTAAACTTTTGAAAAATCGTATTTTTAATTTCTCAAGGGAAAATCTTTTTTGAAAACGTCTGATTATCATACCATTTGATACAGAATTTAATTCTCTACAAAATAGCGTATTTATTTTTAACTTTCACTCCAGAAGACAAATTTTACATTGTTGTAGAGTTTTCAACTTCCCATACTAATAACGACCTTCCGCCTCGCCGTAGCTATTTAAGTTTTTGAACAGAGGTTATATGTAGAGAAAAGACCAATGGCAGTAAAAATCAAATAGATTTGAGCACGTTAAGTGACCCAAAATTGATCGACAAAAAAAGAGTGTCACAGCGTTACGTTTTATTTTTTCATTTTTTATATGAATAATGAGAGCTAAGGGAAAATTTTGTTTAGCATTGGAAAGCTCGTTTCATCCTCTACAAAGTTGGTTCCAGGCCTACTTTAATTGGAGATCGTCGTTCGTAGAGAATTGAAAGATGAGCCAGAGCGTTGCAAACTCAGGATCCTTTTATGTCACGGTGTTACGTGACTATGAACCATTTCTGTAAACTATAGAGTTCAACCAAAAAACATCAAATTTATAGTATAGATAGAACTCGTCGTGCTGCGTCGAATGACGTTTGAATGAACTTTCCAGCTATCATTGTTCTTGAGATATTTCAAAAAAAGATTTCTAAAATGTCACAGCGTTATGCTTCGATTAGCCGAAAAGTTCCTCACCCATATCTTAAAGTTTATTTAAGATAGAACATTGATTGAGTGTTGATGATCATTTATCCTTGAATGGGAAATATTGTTCATTTTTACAATACATTTCCTTTAATATAGACGCATGCATTATGCTCAGACTATCTATTTCGTTGGATTAATCTGAAAGAAAGTATTTTTGTATGGATGTTTTAAAAAATAGTACGAAAGACTTTTCCTTGCAAAATATTCAATAAAGGACATTACAAGACACTATTTTATAGAAAAAGGAAAGACTTGCCATATAAATTCCTTACACTCTCCAACTCAATGGTGACTATGGGTGTGTGGGTGGGGATGGAGGTGCATCAAAAGAACAACATCCACAACCTCATACTCACTCACACCCAGCTACAGCCACAGCCACACCATCACACTCACATCCACACCCCTCACCTACACCCACACCCTACACCCTAATAAAATCGAATAAATGATGTCTATTCAATGTACAGTGAAAGATTGAAAACAAGACCAAATCCGTTCGAACGTAGTTAGAAATATGTGTATCTTGCCACTGTTTCACAACAATATATTTATATCCTCTTCAAATGCATATCATCTGAACAACTTCAATTTACCAATGTTATCAGTTTTTTCGTAAAATAATAATTTTTTATAAGTTACTTTAAAAAGTTATTCACATTTACACTATTTATCAAGTAAGCATCATTTTTAACTTCGTGCAAGATCATTGTTTTTTTCGTTCTAAACAGATTTTATTATTCAAATATGTCACTGTATAATCATGTAGTTGTTCTTCTCGATTGATTATTATTTTTAAAGTTTTGATTGTCCAAATTTGCAAGTTGGACCATAAAGACATAAGACACTAATATTAGGAAGTCTTTTACAATTTTCCATCAAAATAAATTGAATAAACATTTCAATATTTACGCCATTTAAACATTCCACTGTAAAATATCGCATACAAGGACAAAGATCAATTAAATACTGAACTTGCTTAAACTCAATCATCTGCGTAAGATGTACTTCAATAATTTTATTTTCCTTCGAGGCTAAACGAAAGTTTTCTAAATCATTCATAGTTAAAATTTTTATGGCCAACATAGCTAAATTAGATACATATAATGAATGAAGATTTGGTAAATACCAAACAAGTTTGATCAATGTACTAATAGGTACCCATTTGCAATTAATATTCAAATGAGTAAAATTCCCTGTTAAGAGAAGTGCTCGAATATTCTCTGCAATTACTATATTACACTGAGTAAAATCTAAACAACTAACAGTCAATTGACTTGATTTAGCCATATATGTACCATCCGCAATGATAGCACTATCATACAAGTCTGTTTTACTTTTTATACATTCGTTCGAAGTTGATATTTTATTCCTAGAAGTAAAAAAAAACCAAAACAAAATGATTGATATTGGTAATTTTTTTTTCGATTTACTCAGGAAAACGAATAGAATAAATAAGTTGACCATGAGATCGACTATCTATATCAAGATGACATTTAAAGAGAGATCGTCGGCTAGTCCAAAATATTGAAGTAGATCGATTAATTAACTGTTGATATGGAGCAAATAAAAACCAATGATCAATAAATTGATAATATTGAAAGTAAAATTGACAAAGATGAGGCATATGATCTTGAATCAATATCAACATATGTGAAATAATTCGATGTCATTATTCGTAAGAATTTGATTTGTGTACAAAAGTTTTGAATGAAAATTTCAAAATGTTCAAATCGAATTTTACAAAATCCAATAGAGATATGTGTTAAATTGGATAGTGTAATAGGCATTTGAATTGGAATAGGATGTTGTAATTCAAATAATTCTTCACAAGTCAAATGAGATAGTCGTGGTGTATATGAAAGTAAAGAAATAATTTGCTTGAGAGTACAACGATGACCAATGTTCATATATTCAATAGAACTATGTTGTTTATTGGGTATGCATAGAATTGGTCGAAAGAAAAAACGTCGAAAGTAAAAAATATCGAAAGAAAAAATATCGAAAGTGCTATATATAGAGATTCAAGATTCACTATTGGCTTAAAAGTATAACTCACGAATGCTACTACAGGTTGCCCATATAAAGTTGTTGAAAGGTCTGGCCTAAACTCTATTTACGGCGCTTTCGATATTTTTTCTTTCGACATTTTCTACTTTCGACGTTTTTTCTTTCGACCAATTCTATACCATTCAGATAAACCATTTTCTTGTTTTTTTTTGTTAACTTGTACAGCATCTTGTCGTGTTTCAACAGTGGCAATAATACACTACATGATCAAAGTAAATATTTATTCTAATTATTTAAAATAAACTTTACATTCAAATCGGTCACTGTTGCTGATGGATCACAACAATTTTCGATTGATTCATAATATGCATCAATACTTGGTCGAATTAAATCAACAAATGAACAAACATTTGACATACGATCAGCAATAGGTGCAATAACTTAAACTAATACCGAAATAAAATCAATAGTTTCAATACATAATCCATCAAAAGTTCAAATAAAGCTTCAACATTTTAATCCTCTTTTAAAACAAACTACTTTTTCCTGTATCGTAATATCATCAGTTACACCAATAACAATCTTTTTATTACAAAGTAAAGCACTTTCTGTAAACAATAATTTGTGAACATTATGTGATCTATTAAATGTACCTAAAAGAAAAGCAACAAACTGGATTCACATTAAATATATATTGACTTATCACCTAAAGGATGTGGGTGTGGGTGAGTTTGGGCACAGATGATAGCGATACCCACACCCTATTTGAACTCCTCACTGTCGACGACGGTATCACAGTCAATTATTAGTGAAACCCGCTCGAAATTGGATCAAAAGTTCGTGAATCGCTCGAAATACATAAATGATGTGTAAATATACTTTTCGATAGTTGGTAGCGCATACAGATTCATCGAACACTTCAAGCACAGCGCTTGAGAACTGGTCATATTTTATCACACTTACAAGATATTTCACAAGGGCTAGAATTAAGCAATAGATAAAGCTCGTGCAAAACAAGTAAGACAACATGAATTAACATAGGTATAAAACGAAGAGAGAGAGAAAAACTGAGATGGCTGAACTTTTCACCAACATTACTCTGATCAGCAAATGTTGTATTATGATAACCATGCAGAACTTTTCAATTGAATTCATCAATATAATTCGTAATAAATTCAAAAGCTTGATCAATAGTCATCTGAATTTGTGGTGGATGACGTTCGATGAGAACATCCTTTTTCACAGCACCTAGTTCTTGTCGACATAATGGACACAGACTTCGATCATTAGGTCGATCATAATTTTCAAAGTAGAACATCCACAGACACTCGTATGAACATCGAAGAATGTACCTTTCTCGTTGACTTACTTTGTTTAATCTGAGACGTTGTTGTACTGGTGTGTGTACATTGATCATTTGTGTAACGATCGAATTGTTGATCTGAAGTCCAGATAAGCAGATCGATGTTCGTAAGTGTTTTGTGCTATTCTCAGAAATGTTGAGATTTCGATCGGACAGTAACTTTTTATCTCCCACCAACGCATGTATGCATTAGGTGTCTCGTTTTACAGCGAATTCAAGTAATCATTCATAACATCAAATTTTTTGTCGTATTTGTATAAAAACACATGCCAGGCATCGTGCACTTTCGCGTCAGCATTTTATGAAGGTGCGCTATAGGATTGTGTCATTAAAAAAACGAACACATGTTCTGTAAAATTGTTTCTTTCTTTTCGTATGTCGACAGCCAATAGGAAAAGCGGTGAATGACAAATCCTTTGATAAACTGACAGCCATTGAAATTTTTTTTTTATTTTCATTGACTCATATGAGCAAACTTCGATGGATTTTTCTTTTTTATACTTCTATCGCTTGCCATCACTGCGAATGTCGCATTTTTATTTACATTTTCTTTAATCATCACCGTATTGGCACAAAAAAAAACAGTCGATGTCGTTTGCTACACAAGAAAAAAATGAAAATCAAATTATAACGATAATTCTATACTATTAAGAGGTGCATAGATACATTTTTGACAGATCTTCAACATCAAATAGCTCATCACTACAAATTTAATTTCTGAAGAATAGAATTGACACCTTTTTTTTCTACTACCAATGGGAAACGCGACGAGCAAAGAAGAGAAAGAAGAATCGATTCTTCGTAATCCTCAGGAAGGTAAAGCTTCCAGCTTTTACTGGGCATGTCGACATGGTGATCTCGATTCAGTTAAACATATTTTTTCATCATCGAAATTCAACGATATTAATTGTCTAGAGCTGAATGGAAGTACTGGTTTACATGCAGCTTCATATAATGGTCATGTCCATGTTGTTCAATTTCTTCTTCAAAATGGAATTTTTCGACATCAAAGAAATCGTTATGGTCTTACTGCATACGAAGAGGCAAAAAATGACGAGATTCGTGAACTGTTTCATCGACCAACTGGTTCGCAACGTTTTGCTACAGATACAGCAGATGATACTCGACAACTATTTGATACACATGTTGAGCAGTCGACAGACAACAATGAGACACCAGAGGACAATTGGATCGGTGGAGCAAGTGACGAAACTTCAATTGGTGGTGATGAGCTATTTGATGTTGAAGATCTGTAAAATTGTTTCTTT